TTACTGTTACTGTCTATCATTGTCTAAATGTATTTTTACTGTCTAAATATATGTATTCAGCTAATGTAAACATGCAGGATGCTACCACAGCGAATGCGAGGCTGAGACTGAAGCTTTACCTTTTGTTTCCGCTGAGAGACGTGCAGCGTGACTCATTTCCCCGCGCGTACAAGTTATCTTAGGTCGGCGTTCACGGTTTGACTTCTGAGATTCAGATCGAGCTCTAGGTAATTTTTATTTTGAACTGGTTGGTTAGACTTTTAAGAAATTTGAGTTCTAATGAGTTCGAGAACTGAGGTACCACTATATTGTCAAAGAAAGCGATACACTTGGCAATGAGCAGGTGTCAGAGAAGAGTGAACAGCTCATTCTGTAAAGTAGTGATATCCATTTTGTACATCTCCCAGGTGCTGGAGGAGTAAGCCCATCTCTGGTGGCAGATGCCATGATAAATGCTGTGGTAGACTTTGAGAAGATGAAGAAGGGACAGTCTCTGAAGAGTATGAAGATCATAGTTTTCCAAGCAGGGATGATGACCGACTTTCACAGGAGCCTGAAGACAAAAGAAGGCACAGTTCAGCCAGAGGAGAAGAGAATATTCCCAAAAATAAAAGGTATCAGAGGATCACAGACATATTTAGTGTCTTATCACTTAGACTCACTAAAATGTACTTTTAAATGCAAAATGTTCTTCCATGTTCCTTCTGTGCCTTTAGCAACTGACAGAAAGTCTGTTTCTAATGCAGAATGATTAGTTTAATAAACACACTTCTAGTATTTGAAAATGTTGTAAAATGAACTCTGTTCATAACTTTCCATTTGTTATCAAACAGACACAAGTTTGGAGGTACCAGTGTTCGACCTGAAGTCGAAGAAGGTTTCACCATAGTAGGAGAAGAGTTCACTCCAGCCATATTTCATTTTTGCGGAGAGAGCCATGAGGAGGTGTCCAAGGCCAAGAAGTATGTCCAGGACCTCATCATGAAAGAACAAATGGAACATACCATCAAGGACAGTTGTATTGGCTTATTCACTCAGGAGGACTGTAGGAAGCTTCAGGACCTGCAGAAGAAGTTGACAGTGAGCATTCATCTAGAGAAGCGAGGCGCTGACTCCATCATCCAACTAGAGGGCCTCTCCAGAGATGTTTTGACAGCCAATGATAGTATTAAGGAAATGATGCGCAAGGTGGAGAGTTTGGACAGACGCAAGCGTGAAGCGGCCCTTGTGGGTTCCATGGTGGAGCAGCATTACGCTTCCGGAACATTCATTCCTTTTGACCCCTTCACCAATCTTGCCCTTGAACAGGCCTTTGATAACCGTTGTGCTAAAGTTAAAATAAACATCAATAATTTGGAACATACGGCTGATTTAACTTCTAAGGAAGCTGTCAGTGGAAGACAAATTGTCAAGCTCAAAAGAAAAGAAAAGAAAGGTAATTTGCTTTAGTATAGATTGTGTGAAATTGTACATTTAATAGTGGTCAAAGTAATTTTATGGCTCTAGAGTCTAGACAAATGCAAGTCCAGCTGAACATTGACTAAGGAGCCTGTGCAGAACTTCTCTAAAGACAAGAGATACAAACAATGCAGTTTACATTTTACATTTCTTTTTTACTTCATCAGCTGCAGAAGGTCTTCCGGGTGATTGGGATGACATGAAGGGTTCTGAACTGCTTGAAGTGACCCTGGGAACCAGCTCTACAGAATACCAACGAGTAGAGGTCGAATTCAGGAAGACCGGTCTACGCAACCAGATTATTAAGGTACTACCAGGTCACCCTGAGCAGCTGATTGTCATTGTTGGTTCTTGGGTATCTTACTAGATAATGCAGTTCCAAACATAATGATTTCAGTTACACATTCATGTTTATTAATATTCTACATAGGCTTTCAAAAGTCAGTCAATAATACATAATGGTCATTGATATAATTGATTTCAGTAAAGATTAAATTGAGTGCTTATGATTTATTACACATACTTTGTTCAAATTGGACCAGAAGTTACAGTAAAACAGTGCAGGTAAGATGCTATGAAATCGAGAGATCATGGCTTGAAACAGCAGCTTGGTTTCCAGGTCTGTGAGCCAGAGATGGATATTATAGATGTCGAATGGGATGATTTTACTGGACTAGATTTTCAGTTTGGAAAAAAATGTTGCTCCGGATAGTTTTGCCAGTGTTTCGTCAAGTGCCGGAAGAATATGTCTCTCCCTGCACATATTCTCATTCAAGCGGGTTAAATCGACACACATCCTAATTTTACCATCGGGTTTTGGTACTACAACCATACCAGAACACCACTCGGTTACTCTTTCCATGGACCCAATAACTCCTAAATCTTGCATCCGCTTCAGTTCTTCTTGTACCTTTTTCATTAAAGGCAAGGGCACTTGGCGTGGCACAGCCAGGGCAAAAGGAGTAGCTGGGTCCTTTAACTTAATTTTATACTATTTTCCTAAGCCACTGAAAACTTTAGGATACAGTTCCCTGTAATTTGGAATGGATGTTCCTATTGTGTCCACTGTACTGAGGATGCCCAGTAAACCCAGCAATGGTGAAACTAATCCTAGTATCACATATATGGCCTGTTGCACTGCTCTGTTCCTGTAGCCCAGTTTGGCATTAAACTGTCCATTCACCTGAATTGGAGTGTTACTTGGTCCATGCAAGATCCTTGTGGTGTGGCAGAGGGCACCATTCTTGCAGTCACAGCAGCTCCTGTATCCAGCTTGAGTAAGAACTGTTCACCATTCACTGTAACTGTTGTTTCTCACACAGTTGCTGAATTAGCTAAAGTCGCTTCCCCCAAGAACAGTGTCCCCACCTCTTCAGGCGCAGTAATTGTGGCATTTATTTCATTCACTCTTTTCTTTGTTTTGCAGACTGCTGCAAAGTACCCCTTTTTGTGACATTTCTGACATTCACTGTAATATGCTGGACAAGCTTTGGCTTTATTGTCATGTTATCTTTGTGGAAATTTTGGTCTAGCTTCACTGCATCCATATTTGCAGTCACCATATCTTTGTCAGCTTGTCTCAGTACATGCTGCTGCTTTTTAATTTCTTCACTCTGTCTTATTTTGGCGATTGCCTTGCTGAGAGTCAGCTCTGGGTCTAATTGCAGCCTCTCTGACAATGTACGATCCCTTATGCCCACTACCAGTCTGTCTCTTATCATTTCCTCCTGAAGAGGCACATAACAGCAATGTTCAGCTAGTTTAGTTCGTCAACAAGATAAGGTGTACAGTAGATGGTAGTCTGAGCCTAGGGAGGTGGGATATATAGAAACAGGCACCAATCCCTCATTAGCATGAAATTGTTTTCTATTTCTACAGATTGTAAGGATCCAGAATAATTCACTCTGGAAATCTTACGAGATCAGGAAGGCTGCTGTAGACAAGAAGAACAAACACAGCAATAATGAGAGACGGCTTTTCCATGGGACATGTGCAACTACCATCTCTCAGATCAATAGCCAGGGTTTCAATCGCAGTTATGCTGGCAAAAATGGTAAGTAGATCTCCTTTTGTTCTTATTTGTAAATGTCTTCTTATGGCAACAAGTGGTAAGGAACAAAATAAATATTAAAATAAAGTACCTTGGGTTTTGGCACAGGTTCTACTAGTGTCTGTTTTTGTGTTTCAAGGATATGGTGCTACTATTTCGTACAATTATTTGGATTTAAAAAATTTTTTGGGACCTCCTGCTCTGGAATCTCTGATAAGTATAAATTTTGGGTTGAGATCCGTTGACGGGAATGATCATGGTCTTTGGTTAATGTTGTGTTCTTGCTCCTCAGACCATTCCATAGCTACCTGTGTTCCATGTTTGGAGCAGTTCTTATCCTGGTTTGATTTTTTTTTCCCTGATTGTCAGATGTTTTAATATTTCAATATAATTCAATACTTTTTGGTATAAACAAACAGAAATATTGTGCGTTATAAACAACATCCCTCATTACGAATAGCATGGTCTATGTGTATACTTTGTTTAAAGTTACACAGTACCTGATACTTGTCAGATCATTGATTCATTTTGATGACCAATTTGTTTTTTCTGCAGCTGCAGTGATAGGCAATGGGACTTACTTTGCAGTGGATCCCAAGTACTCAGCCAGCCACACCTACTCCAAGCCTGATGCCCAGGGGCACAAGAACATGTACTGGGCCAGAGTGCTGGTGGGGGACTTCACTCGGGGGTCGGCGGGTCTGGTTGCCCCCCCAGTCAAAGCTTCAGGGAATGTTTCTGATTTATATGACAGCGTTGTGGACCATGTCAGCAACCCACAAATGTTTGTCACATTTCATGATGTGCAGGCTTACCCTGAATACCTGATTACCTTCCACT